CTCAGTTACATGGCCGGTAAGAGCTGGGGGTCAACAGAGACATTCTCGTAATTATCTATAGACAGGTCATAGAGCCTACAGTCTTGTATGGTGCCCCAATCTGGGCCCTTACTCTCGAGTTTTTCGTGTTGCACTCGAACTGACGTCATCGAACTCGCTTGTGTTACTATGACTCACATAATTGTTAGTCTCGAGTTAGACCCTTCGAGTGAACTCGAGAGGCGAGCGGAAATACGTCATACTCACTTGGTTTTGTGTCGTCAAGCATGATGGGATTATTTACAATGCATCTGGGTTTGCGACTATAATGATTCGACCAATCAACTTAACTGTAACAAGTTGTAAACAAATCAACGCGAATTAGTTTACACGTGCTACAGTTAAAAGTTGTCTTATGGCAATATAGTANCAGTCTTTACTTTTTAAATGTTTCTGAACTATAAAAAGTTATAAACAGATAAAATATAAGAACAAATTTAATTAAATTGCTGATGTAATTTGAAGAAATTTGTGGAAATTCATTACAATACTGCCATAAATTCTTTAATAGTTTCTTAGATTTCTTTGTGATTTTCTAATATATATAAAAAACTGTGATGTAATAGTAACAAAATATGTAAATCAGAGATGAATTTTGACATCATCTTGATGAGAGTACCTAATAATAATTGAAATTTTTTTCACTTTTTTTTTGCACTAGCTGGATTTGCATTTTATTTTCTTAGAATTTAAATTAATTACCATAACAACAGTCAAATAAAGATTGGAAAACTACATGCATTAAAAATAGTGCATTATAGTTTTTTATGTAGTGTTCACTTGGGAGCCTTATTCAAGCAAAATATCAATCTTGAAGATGGTAATAATAGAATTGAATCAATTGAAGACAGAAACATCTTGGTGTTTGTTGGATTGAGGCTTCAAAGGGATGGGAATGTGTTAATTATTAAGCTTGGTGGTTAATGCACGTATTTTCCTATTCTGATTTATGTAAATTAATTTAAATAATTTAATTTTTCTCAATACACTTGCAAGTAAACTTTTCAATAAATGTAATTTTCTTCAATATCTTTATACTATGTCTAAGTATTATTTCACTATCTTTTGTTTTTTAATTCAGAAAATTCATTTCATTTTATAGAATTTGAATCTTTCATTTTAATTATAATTAATTATATATATACATTTTACAGTCCTGATAAAAAGTGTATAAATTTTAGTACATTTTTACAAAGTGACTCAAAAGTCAGTTAACTAAGGATTTTTGCAAACAATTTAGTAAGTTTTGCAAGAAAGTAATCCAAAAGTTGCTTTTGTAATTTCCATATTATCCATTTTTCACTTTTTGAAAATTATAATTTTATCTTTAACACTCAAATTTGAAATTATCATATTAATATAAAGCCCACTTCATTTGGAGATTGTTTTGTTAATTGTATTCCAGGCAGGGCCAGATTAACCCACTTTGGGCCCTAGACATTTTCTTCTTCCGGGTCCCCTCCCAGCTCTTTCAATTAATAAATCTTGTTACTATTATTTCTGTTAAATTGCATAAGGACACTTCAGCTGCTTTATAAAAAATAAAAGCAAAATTATTTAACAATATTTCACAGAATTTAAGAATACATATAGTTAATATTATTCGATAAGAATAATATTAACTATCGCTATAAAGAATGTTCTAAATTATTGGGAGTTTTACATTCAATAAGAAGAAACATAAGAATACGAGGGTTGTTCAAAAAGTTCCCGAACTTTATTATTTGTCAGGATCCCCTTCAAAGTAGTCTCCTCCGCAACATATACACTTATTTTAACGGTGCTTACGCTTTTTGAAACAGTCCTGGAACGATTTTTCCGGAATGCTCAAGCTTCTCTGTCATTTTTTCCCCTATCTCTGGAATGGTGGCAAATGTTTTTCCTTTGAGCGTGTTTTTTTAGTTTGTTAGAGAACAGGAAAAAGTCGCATGGGACCAGGTCGAGTGAGCAGGGTGGGTGGGGAAGCACAGTGGTCTTGTTTTTGGCCAAAAACTCGTGTTCTGAGGGACAAATGAGGCGGCGCGTTGTCGCGGTGAAAAAACCACTCGCCGCTTTTCCAAAGTTCGGGCCGTTTTTGCCTGATTTTGTCTCTTAGGCGTTTTATAACATCAGGTAGTACTCCGTGTTGACTGTCTGGCTTGTAGGTAGGTATTCGTAATGCACAACCTCCCTTTGCATCGAAAAAAACAGTCAACATCACCTTAACATTTGAGAGAACTTGTCGAGCTTTTTTGGGGCGGGGGGTTGTTTCACCCACCCGTGGGAAATTTCCGTGAAGGATTTTCCGAGTTTCACACAGAATTTCACAGAACAACGCTGTTCTTTCAAAGAACTGATTTCCGCGAATCCGATTTTTCGCCGAACACCACTTCACATAAATGGCCGTAACTAATCACTAAAACAAGATATCTACAAAGGGTTGAAGGAGGTTACTTAGGAGGTTTCAAGGTCTATATAAGAAGGTCAGGACACGCTCCCGTGATTCTACGCGGCAGCGGACATTTTGGGACTCATCGATAGACTACACTCCACACGTAGTTCCTGCATGAGTCGACTATTATTACTATATAAGTACTCAAACCTTTAAACAATGGGTTATTGTGTGGTACCAAATTGTAAAAGTAAATCTACAGACGTTCGATCGTTTAGATTTCCTGCAAGTAAGCGGAGGAAAGCAAAATGTAGCGTAGACATCAACGGATAGTTCATGATACAGTTCAAAGGGTTTATATGTGTAAAGTTTGCAAAAAGTTTAGTTTATAAGTAATTTATACTTAATTCAATTTAAATAAAGTTTACATTGATTTTATTATTAGAATTTTTATTTTAAAAGGCGTGATGGAAATCTAAATATATCCAATTCTTATAATCTAGAGATTCCATAATATTTAATTGATTTTATTTATATTTAATTTTTTCGTTTGCATTTCAATAATTATTTGCCACTGATNAAATAACAAGTTTATTTAATTTAGATTTAATTTATTCTGGGAGGGAAATTAAATTTAATGTCAATCACTATCAAAATATTGTGTCTGGGAGTGCATTTATTTCTAAGGAATTTTAAAATGTCACAAAAGCAATTTTATAAAATTAGATCAAACAAACTTTCAATAATAATTTAAAATTTATATTTATTACTTAATCATATAATGAATTAAATTATTATTTAATAACAATTTTATAAAGTATCAAATATTTCTACTCGGTTATAATAGGATTAGATGCCTCTAAGAATTCTTATACAGCTGTTACTTATGATAATTTACCAACAACAAATTGAATGTTAAAGATTCATTTTGTTTAAATAAGATCATTTAAGACATTTTGCATAATTTTAAACAAAATTATAAGTAAAATTCCGTGTTTAAGAGTATATTTTTTTTCTAATAAAAGTCCAATATAATACAGTAAACCTAATTTATCAGCGGATTAATAGACTAAGATCAAAAGAAACCTGCTCCTTTTTAATCGTTTTTTAGGCTTTAAATTTAATACAAAAAATATTTTATCGTTTTAAAATTATTTAAAATATAAATAAATTATAAAAGTTAATTCATATTTATATAGTAAATTTATTTACGTCAATTTATAGAGAAACAATGTTTTTTAGTATAATGCTACAGATTTTCCTATGCTACATATTCTGTGGAATTACAATAAGATATTTAATAGCCATAAAATATTAAAAGTATTTACTTGAAATACAACTTACGATTACAGAAAACATTTATAATAGTATAACAACGTGTGCTAGAATAAAAAGGAGGTAAACTTAAATAAAAAAAAATTAAGTACATAATTAAGAGGCGAAATGCATATCCTTTCCTATCAAAGAAAACATTTAATTAACCTTACAAATGTAGACATTTATAATTTAAATTATCTGTGTAATTAAAATACTTAGAAACTGATGACAAAAAAATTATTGCTGGACAATGTTGTATTATTAAATAATTTGTAACTTACATAGTTGAAAAAATGAATTGCAAATTTTCCCCAATTCCAGGGCTAAGGAGAAAGGGAGCCCATCAGTGGCGGAGTGGATAAAACACCGAACACTGGTAGTTGGTTAGTCGTGGGTTCAGGCACGACCAACGGGTGACCACGTGGAGATTTTCTGGTTTTCTTCAAGTTTATAACTTTTAAATGGGGCCAATTTCCCATAAAAGTCCTCCCGGGAGGTATCTTCCCTCAGCAGATCACCCAAGGGTCGCTTTGCTCCAAATAATCCGAATGGAGAGAGGGAAACTGGAGATTATTTTCCGGGCCCAGAAAAAATTTATGGTCTGTATAAATTAATGTTATCTTTATTAACAAAAATAGTTTGTTAATAAAGAAAAATTTTACGTATTTCATTTATTTAAAAAAGACAAAAAGTCCCATCTAAGGAGCAAAAGGACCACACTCTACTCTCTGGTTCCACACAAATGATACTTTAATTTTTTTTTTATGTTATTTCATCACTTTACGAAGTGCCTATATACGTAATTGCATCCGTTTTAGCGCCTATTTAATTAATTTCAATCACGACAGCGAATGATACGGATGATTGTTTCTTTTGAACTATATGATGAAAACTGTACATAAAATTGGGGTCGCGTAATCATCCGAAATTATTATTATATTTTTGACTGGAAATCACTGGATTTATACAATTTTAGTTTAATTCATGTATAAAACTGACCGCTCGTGCAAGTTTGCTTAAAACGCGCGACTCGAAAAACCCCAAAATGGCGGCTCGAGAAGTAGGTCACGCGTGTCCTGACCTTCTTATATAGACCTTGGGAGGTTTCCACGGACACAACGCCTCCAAGCGATTTAAAAAATAACCAACTGGAGACGCGCTATTCGGGAACTTTTTGAACAACCCACGTACATTTTCTTTAGATTTTAGAATTCACAATAACCATATAAAAAGCAATATATTTTTGTTTATTTGTTTATTATATACAGTTGTCCAACAGAAAAGTAAACTATCTTATTTACAAATCTTTTCAAAATAGACATTTTGACCAGCCCTTCTAAAAACTGGGCCCTAGACATTTGTCTCTGCGATGATCCGGCCCTGATTCCAGGAATTGAGATCATCACCACTTTAGTTGATATTTAATGAAAGTTTAATTTCCAGAATTTATAATTTCAAAAATTGTAAGAATGCCATTAAACTTGTTTACAATAATTTCAAATAATTCTAGCATTTCTATCCGAGAATTTAATACAAATTCTGAGAGATCATTGTGCAAAATCCAATATTTACAGAAATATAAAGACTACTTTTTGTCATTAATTATGTACAGTGATAGTTATTGCACCTTTGTCCCAAAATTTCAATGTTGATTGCTAGATTATGAAGTGAAAAGCTTGCTTTCTTTATAAGATTCTGTTTTGGGTAGCGTATTGGATATTTAGTCTCAAGTTATATGAGGGCAACAATGTTGGGTCACATGGAATAAACTCTTTAGTTAAGAGCATTCACTGAGGCTACAAACTCGGTGAATGCTCTCATCAGAGTTCATTCCACGTGAAATCATCACAACTTTCGTGTAGCCAAACAACTTGACACTAAGCACCCAGGTCAGTTCAAAGAAGAACTTGTACATTAGTTGTTTGGATTCTAGTTTTCTCGTGGGTATTTCTATCCACTGTGGATACTAGAGTATGTTAGAATAAAACAAACTCATATTCTACCCATCTGCACAAATTGTGCGTAGATTAGATTTGAGATCACATTAATTTGTCTTGTTCTGCGTATTTGAAAGTACAATCCAAGCAACAAATTGTGACTAACCTCGAAAACAAAATTAAATTAATCTCTTTGTCCTGAGATCTTCAACCATTCTATCGATCGTCTGCATCTGATAATTGGGAAGTTTGGGTACGACGTAATGAGGAAGTGAATATTTCAGTTTTTCCCAGAACCACTTCTCTCCCCAGACTAGAAATGTTTTCGTGGCCAAGAGATTTTGCATATCTGCAGGTAAAAGATCTCGCGTTTGTATATCCCCCACCGTCACAATGATGAGACGATCTACTTTTTCCTCCAAGCACTGCAGATAGGCCATCTGAAACTCTATTTCGCACCACATGCTTTCCAGAAAATCCTTCGATAGCACAATGACTGTTTTCCTGCTGCTCTGTATGGACACTTCTATTTGAGAAACAATGGGATTTCCGGGCAACCAGTCCCGTTCGTGGATACACAGTCTGAAAAATGGCGGTTTCTCTTCCAACTCCCTTAGCATGGACATGACTACTTCTCTATCGCTCGCCGTATAGGAGATGAAAGCGTCATATGGTTTGTCACCATCTATTTCGGATATTTTACGGCAAAAAACGGCAGGGAAATGGACGTACAAATAAGCCAAAATGGTATTTTTATACTTCATGAAGAGAACGATGCAACTAATTATGGCTAAAGCTAATACGGCGACGATGGATGCCGATACTATGAGAGGAACATTCACAAGCGGTAAGTCTAGAAAACAAAATGCATCCAATGGTACACTTATTATAGGCGATTTCACTTTAGTGTTGTTGTGATGGAACAGTCTGCTGCACATTACCCTATCCGCTTCCACTATCCTTTCGATGTTTTTATCAAACCAGATTTTAAAGTAAGTGAAAGAGCAGTTGCACCAGAACTGGTTGTCCCTTATATCTAATTGTAGCAATGGTATTTCGTCGACACTTTCTAAAAACTCTTTGGATATTCTGTCTAACCGGTTGCTTCGAAGAGAGAGATAAGTCAAAGAAGACGGAAATTTCCAAGATTTTGATGGATCCAAACGATTGTAATCCAAATTTAGATACGTAACATTCGACCAATCATCACTGGAGATACGGAAATGGGTGACGAAGTTGTGATCGAGTCGAACGACGGATGTATTTTCGGGAATTGATTTGGGAACGTGAATAAGACCGGAAGAAGAACAATTAACGATGGCATTCGTATCTTCACGATAACAACGACAAGAATTTGGGCAGGTCGTCCTAAATGGACAAAGAACATAAGAAGGAACCACATCCGCAAGACTCGTGTTCCTGTATTCTACGGGGCCGTGGCAAAATAACGATTTAATACCGGAAGACTGTATCTTGTCCGCAAAGTTTTTCAGAGAGCAATTGCATTCGAAGGGATTTCCTTCCAGCTTAACATTTTCTAAAAAAGTAGAATTTGTTGGACCCGTAACAGAAGTGATATTGTTATAAAGCAATGAAACGTGGACGTGATCGGAGGGAGGTAATTCATCCAAATTGAGGAAAGTAATTCGATTATGATCCAAATTCAGGTAGGTAAGGTTGTAAACACTCCATTCGATGGATGGAAACGTCGTTAACTCGTTGCCAGCCAGACTCAGAGTCAACAGTTCACTCAAGTTACCAAACGGAGTTTTCGAAGGAAGAAATCGAATTTTGTTGTTGTCTAAATTTATAACTTTCAAGGATTGTAGATTACCGTAAATCCCTTCTTCGATGTTTTTGATCTCGTTCTCTCGAAGTACCAAACTCTGAAGAGATGACAATTTTCTAAATGTCTCGTAGGCAAGAGAATCTAATCGATTTCCATTTAAAAATAGCGCTATCAAACGATGGTTGGAGGCGAAGATGTTGGGAGGGAGCGTTGTAAGTCGATTGTTGTCCAGGTACAATATTCGTAGCCACGTGTTCTTCGAAAACAAATTTTCGCCAAGTTTCTCAATTTTATTATGGCACAAGGAAATTATAGATAAGAGAAAAGACGAGGAAAAGAAGTTTTCCGGCAATTCCGTGATATTGCAATAGCACGCTCGGAACTCGACCAGCTGTAACGAAGCCTTCAAGAAAGCTTCAGGCAGAGAAGAAACGGTGTTGTTGGTAATATCGATTAATTGCAAATTGATGTTGTCGTGCAGAAGCGTGGGAGGAAGCTGTTTGAATCGGTTACTTCCCAAAAACAACTTTCCGAGATTGTTCAACCCTTTGAAAATATTAGCGGGAAGCGAAGTCAAGCGATTGAGAGAAAGATCGATCAAGTTCAAGCTGCCGAGTCCTTCGAAAAGCAGTTCGGGCAATTCTTCTAAATGATTGCAACACAAGTAGAGATAAACGATTTTCCGCATACCTCGAAATAACGTCTCTGGGAGAGATCGCAATTCGCAGAACTGGATGCGAATATTTACTAAAGAGTCGAGCTGAGAAAAGAAATTTTCCGGAAGAGTCGTTAGATTTAAAAAGATGACCTGCACACTTTTTAGATTCACCAGGTTATCCAAAACGTAAGTTACGTTCTGCTTAATGGACAATGCCAAACAAATTAAATTGGGCATATCTCTGACTATGATCTCGTCGTAATTCCACGACCCGTTGGAATGCACAAAGAAACATTCTGGTCTGTAATCTCCCAAAGTTTCACCTATATCGGAGGAAGGGAGGATGCAGTTCATAAGAGCAATCTCTTTGAATTGCGAGTAACCGGAGCATTCTCGTAGTAACGACACGTCAAATTGCGTTTCGTTGCAGATCACTACCACAGTTTTCGTATCGTCGTTGATTGACAGGTTAACTCCTTTGCTACATTGTACCTTACGATTATATGCCGGATCGTACACAGTCCCCGTTATGTCGTCCGACTGGAGATAAACTACTGCGGGGATGCAAACAAACGTCACGATTAACGGTAACCTTCCTATATCCATATTCTGAAAAGAAAGAACTTTTTAGGTTGAAAAAAAATCAAAATTATCATTTAACATGAATTGCCATTTATACTATACAGAAGAAACAAATTACTTTTGCATCAAGAAAAGCAATTACGTCGATTAAAAACGTATCTATCGAGTGACGAAATTCTTTGCATCATCATTAATACATTGTGACGCAGCAGAATTTCATCGATCAGATTTGACGAATATTGTTTACGTCACTATCAATTTACATTCTAAAACTAATTTACAAAGTTATATATATATATATATACAAATAAATATATATAAGAACTAAAATATACATATACAAAGTTTATCTATATATATATATTTTAGTTCTTCCTGTAGACACTAAAAAGACCTTTTAATCAGGTCTACAACGAGGCGATCGGTGGCTGGGGACGGGACTACCCCCGAAAAATTTCTGTTTTTTTTCCTTCAACTCGTTCGGATTCGTCCCATATAACGTATACTTGTCTTTTATTAATGCCTTATTTGTGCCTGTATTAAACATTGTTGTGTTTCATAAATCGTTAGAAACACTGGGATTTCTACTGTGGGCTTTCGTCCTCTTAAGCTCCTTAATTAAACGCGCAGACTACTTTTTCAAATAAAACTTGAGAATTTTTTCTTTTTGTTGAAACCGTCTCTTTATTTTATATTTTTTTTCCCCGATTCGCCATGAAGTGATATTATAGGATACCAGCTGTCTGTATATTCGCGATTGAATTTAAAAAGGAATGCACAACAGTCTAGTGTCTAGGAATATCACTTCATCGCGAGTCACAGAAGGACCGAGAAGGATAGTGTTTAATTATTTCTTTCGATAATGCAATGCGTATTTCAGTTTCTCCCAAAACCATTTCTCTCCCCATTTCAAATAAGTTTTGGTGGTCAACAGATGACGAAGGTCCTTCTCCAACTCGACGTCTCCGAGATCTCCCACTACCACCAACATCAATCTGTGCGCTTGATCGTGAATCATTTGGTTGTACGCTGCCCGGAATTCCACTTTGAACCAGATGCTCTCTAGGAAATTGCGAGAGAGGAGGATGACCGTTTTCCTGCTGTTCTGTACCGAGTAAACGATGTGTTGACTTATGGGTAGTCCCGGTAACCAGTCTCTTTCGTGCACGCACAGATTATAGGTGGGTTCTAGTTGTTCCATCATTTCCAGCATCATATCTCGATCGGCCGAGTTGTAACATATAAAAGCGTCGTACTTTCTGTCCTCGCCATCTTCGACCGCATCCCAACAAGGACAATAAATCTTGCGACTGTACAAAAAGGCCAGGATGGTAGTTTTGTACCGATAGTAACTTATTGCCACGAATGCCAGCAGAACACTCGAGCATAGAAGACAGGTGGTTATGACTGCGATGTGCCATTTTTCCAACGTCATTTCTTTGATACAAAACAGATCCACTGGAACGTGACTAATTAGTGATTTCTGTACGGAATTGTTGGACTGAATCAATCTGTCGCAGGTCACGTTTTCGGAATCGCGGATCTTATGCAAATTCCGCGTGAACCACTTCTTGAAACGGACGGAATGACAATCGCATTTCCATTCGTTTCTAGAAAGAAAGATGCTGAAATTTGATAAATTATCGACGTGCGTCATCAAAGAAGAAGGTAAATTCGTCAGTCGGTTTCCGTCCAAAGTCAAGGAGCTGAGATATTCTGGAATAATCCAATCATTAAGTGACAACAGAAAATTGTTACTAAGATAGAGATGTGTGACATTTTTCCACGTAACCCCGTCCACTTCGGACAGATTGGCAATGTGGTTGTTGTTCAGGTAGACAAATGTTGTATTCGTGGGAAGATTGGCGGGTGGATCAGACAAATTTCTATGCGAACAATCGACTACAGTTTGTTCTTCTAGTGTCAGGTAGCAATCGCAAAACGAAGGACATTCTTTTTTTCGCGGGCAAACACTGTAAATGGGCCAAATTTCCATTAGTTTCTTTTCAGAATCCCCATTGCATTCGATGGTGTTAGAATCCGGAAAAATAGTAACGGCTCTTTGGTCGATGTGTAAAAAGTGTAGAAACTGTCTGATTCGGCAGTCGCATTCGACGACGTTTCCTGCGACTTTATACACGGGAGAATTGTTAGAACGCTGTTGGTAGTCGATGTAGATGGTAGAGATGTTGTTGCCGTTAAGCCGTATCTCGGTGTGGTTCTTGGTAAACACAGGTAGGGTAACTTCCCGAATTTGATTATGGGATAAATCGACTAGTGTCAGATTGTGATTCGACCAATCAATGTTAGGAAATTCCTTTAGACCCGAATTGCCGAGTAATAGAACATTCAGATATCTGCTAGTGCCGAAAGGATTTCTTTCGGGCAAGTTAGTTATATTGTTATTGAATAGATGAACTTCTTTCAGGTTAATAAGAGGAAGGAAAGTGTCCTGGTGTATGTATTGTAAATTGTTATCGGTTAAATGCAGTTCGGATAAGGAACTCATTCGTTTGAAAATATCTTTGGGTAGTTGCTGCAAATTGTTTAATGATAATTGCAGCGTTTCTAATCTGGAAAGGTGATAAAAAACTGCAGGTAAAAGTGTAGTTAACTTATTGATTCCTAGCATTAAACTACGAAGATTCTTTGTGTTGTTGAATAATCCCGAGGGAATGTGTTTGAGGCGATTTTTAGTTAAAATCACTACTTTGAGTCGTCGCGAGTCTGAAAAGAACGATTCGTCTAAGTATACTATAGAACAATCTAAAGCATTAAATTTCTCCAGGTTAGTCATTCCTTTTAAGAGTGTTTTAGGTAAGGAAGTGATTTCCCTACTCCCCATGATATCGAAAAAATACAAGGAAGGAACGTAACGAAGCAGATTTTCGGGAAGAACTTTCAATTTGTTCGATCCTATGTGTAACGTTTGAAGATAGGATAAATTGAAGAAGAGATCTTCCGTCAGCTCGCCGATTTGGTTACCAGAAATATCCAGATCTACTAAACGCCAAAGGTTCCTGAAGAGCAAAGGCGGAATTTTCTTGATTCGATTGCTTTGGAGCAACAATTGTTGCAGGTTGACCATCCCGTAAAATAGATCTTCGGGTAAATCTTCCAAAATTCCGTAAATTATTCTCAATGCCTGAAGACTCGGAAGACTCTGGAAAGGTCTTCTCGTGAACGACGTGAAATTGTGATTTGTAATTTGGCACAGAGTGAAAGCTGGCAAATCTTCCAGGATCAACTGCAGCAATCCTTTCGTACTCAATCCACTTAAGATCAGTTTCTGAAAATTAGGAACGCCTCTCAACGCCATTTTCCCGAAGATTAAGTTTTCTGTGGTGTAAGATATTACGATGGTCGATATTCGTACGTCGAACGTGAAATTCGTCATCTCGAAATCTGTCAAATGGCATTCGACTAAAGTTAGAACTGCCATCTCGGTGACGTTTAAACAGGGAAGTAATCGAGCATCTGGAACTCCTCCTTTGCAATTGTACAGCAAATTAGAGTGATCCATCCTAACGTCTGAACTGTGATCTTTCGTTCGGAAACACAGTAACACCTGTGAAAGTGGAGTGGTATCTCGGCAGGGATAAGTTTGCCAACTGTTCCAGAATTCTTCACACGAATGGGTTAACACTAGCAACGATATGAATGTCACGAATTTCTCCGCTTTCATGTTTGGCTCTGAAAGAAAATACTGGGAATTATTATTATATTCTACGGAAAGAAATCATTTAAAATATAATGAATTACGTGAATTACACAAATGTTATTCTCGCAGTATTTATAGTTTCAGAGCCAAAAATGAACCGAGGAACGATTGATGCCTCTTAAAATTTAGAGTAACGGAATAAAGTAACCGTAAGAAAACATTATAATACTGACTTAGGGGGAAAATGTCAAAATAGATTTAAGACGGGGTACTTAGTGTTGGTCATTTGTGTAGTGACGCTTTCCTGCCGCTCATATCACGTGACAGGCAGACCATATCGCTACATGAATAACTCAATCCACGGTGATTGGTTCGCAGTGAAGGTTCTGAGGATGTCACAATGGTCTTACTGACCTAGTTTCTACCACGTGTCCCTTCACAATTGTGTTGCTAGTCTCGTAATTGGAGACTAGCGATCTGTCGGCTAATTTTAAATACCTCGACAGTTACGAGCTACACTAAATTCTTATAAGTTGAATTATTTTTTCCGTTATGTATAAAAACTGGTGGATTAATTAGGTACTAGTTACCGTTCTGCGCCTCATTTACTTAGCTACGGGTGTTCCTACAATTACAAAAAGTGCATCGTCACTCCCATTTTTCCACGAGGGAAATACGTGATGAAAATATTTATCCTGTAAACTGTAAATAACCGGTTTCATTTAATCAAGGCAAAAACCGTGTAACAGATTTGCTAGAGGTACCGCTTGAAGTATGCAACCTACACTCGTAAATGTTAATAACTACACTCGAGTAGTTTGCGTGATGCGCGTACATTTTAGCACGATTACACTAATAATACTCGACTCGTTACTCTCGAAAATGAGCAACGGAGTAATTTCGTACGTTCATTTTACGCTTCTTTTTAATAAAGCCTGTGACATTCGGAGGAATGGCTTTCTAAGACCGATTGTGACGTATTTAGCGATATTTTCTATAAAGCTTCGTAGGAAGTGGGAATTTTTGTTTCCCTCTCCTATTCGCCGGGGAAAATTTTACTTTTACGTCACTACTTTTCCTATAAACACGAGTTTTTCTATTATTACGGATATTCTTGCAGTTACTGATACTTTATATTAGGCCTATAACACTAAAACTAGAAATTCCTATCCTATTGGAGAAAGATATGTCACATAAAACAAAAAAAAGGCTTGAATATAGATCGAAATAATGGTTGAGCTATTACCTATGATGTACTGTTCGTTCGTAGTGTATCATCGGACGTGTAACACGTGTGCATTCGATTAAACGTCACTCTCGTACATTATATTATGCTATTTATACGTGCAGACTCAAACCACCATCGAGCGAGAGTAACGAAGCCAAGAATGAGAGAGAGAGAAAGATCGTAACAATGAAGGGGTGGTCGAAATTGAATCTCGCCGCTTCGTAAACGAGTAACGCTCTTGTTGGATATCTACGGCTTCGTAACCGAGAAGTTACGTATAGAAATAATAAAAACGATCGCTTACTTTACGGAACGGTTACACACGCCGTACACAGTCGTAACAGATCGAATGCATTATTTACAGTTCGTGGTAACAGCGATGAAACGGGATTTGCTTCGTCACACGATACACGTGCGGAATCGTTTACATAATTTCTTTATTATCGTATTTACGTGGAAACACTATAAACGTTTTCGACACATTTATTGTACAGTATAAACAGGTATTTCACTCGCCCTCGTCACCTGTTATGAACGATATTCTATTTATTTTTATTATGATTATTATAGAGTTTGTATATGGAGTACGACCCGCCGAAATCGAAGTTGGTTTGGTGTCTGTCCGAAGCGTGTAAACAACGAAATATGAGAGTAACTTGCATTTTATTTTTAATAGTTAGAGGAAACAAGTTAGGATTTAAATGGGTGACGTAGCAGAAAGTAATACTCTGTTATCATCATAAACTACTAAATACGTCAAGAATTATTACGCACGTTTTATGAATTGAGGAATGAAATTTGTAGTTGATAAGATTATTTATTACTGTAATCACGTATCTCAATAGTAGGAAATTTACAAAAGGAGTTCGGGTGAAAAGATAAAAACTCGAGATTGTAAGACGGATGTAAATAATGGAGAAGTGCGAATGAATGTAAAGTCGTGCCTAACCGTCATACCTGAGAATAGCGATACTTGGTATTTGTAGAAAGAACGAAAACATCGGTACGGGGCGAAGGGAAATTTCCTATATAACTTACTCGAATGTCATACTTTAAATCAGCAGTTCTCAACCTGTAGTGCTCGTACCTCCGGAGGTAGACAAGAAATGTCTGTTAGTGCTGTCTGTACGCAGAAAGCTTAAGTGTCAGGAGAGTGAAATAAGGTTGAGAACCCCCGCTTTAAATCGATGGAAAAACCAACATTTTGTGTGTAATTAACACGTCGATGCTTCCGGTTCTACACACGAAACGTTTCTAGGATTTTCCTCCCACAGAAACAAAGGAAGTAAAGCCGTCACATCCGTGATAACTATTTCTGTTGAAGGTGGAAACATCAATGCGTAATTAATTTTTTGTTTGATGCATTTTAAACCTCGAAAATTCGTGAATTGGATAGAAAATATAACTGATACCGAGTTACCATGGTACACGTAACGACCTCGGAAACAGAAAGGATCGTATATAAATATGTCGCCGACACCGTAGATTAATTAAATCTAAATAGATGTCACTTAGATAAGAGAGTTTAGCATTTTGATAGTAGCATCCGCGATGTCACTCCTTTAAACCCTAACCTGTTTCTTTTAACTATTTAACAAGTAAATAAGTAATTTGCATAAGTTATTATTCACTTCGGACAGGAAAACTAACGGGTTTCGATTTCAACAGATCATAGTCGATATATATTGTATACAATTGCTGTAAAAAATAAACTTAGTGTTACGTTATAGTCACCTTTAATTCGATCTCGTTTAATTAATAACGGCCGCGTCACGTATTAAGTAATAAAAGACAATATAAAATAAACTTTTTAACGCGAGTGTCAGAAGAATATCGTCACTTACTCTGGTTATTTGAGCGTTACTCCGAGATCGTCACACAGTCCTGCGTCTCCAGAATCATCTGTAACGAGACGACGTTAAATTATTCTTTGTGAAATATCCAATGATAAATAATTGTGTCGAATTTCTCCTTTCGTTACGAAATCCATGACGTCACACAGCTGTACTAACTACTAATTTACTCGTACTTTAGGAATATCGAGTGACGTTAACGTAGGGAATATTCATATAAATCTACGCGTTACGCGTTGACGGTCGACGTATATAACCCTAAGATAACCCGAGAAACGAGGTATATTTATCGTGACGTAATAGCTGGATGTCTGACGTTCGACCGAGTAGCATTATCGTATCGCGCAATCCCCCGGTTTCTCCATGTTTATAAGAATAAAGTATACGCTCGGGTTTATCTAGTCGAGTTATCCACTACTTTTTGGACGTTAACCTGTCGGATGGCTTAAATTTTAAGTTACACTGATGGAAACGTATGCTGCGAAGTAAACAGGGTCTTTATTAATAATCTCGGGAGGTATATGAAAATACAAATCGCAACCTAATCGTTTCAATTCAGTCATACTCGAGTGATGTTACCGATGTTAATTCGAGCCATACTTGTGACGTTTCCTTTCGGTTATAACGTCACTCGATACACGACAGAGTAACCAAACTATGGGGGAAGGCTTAAACTTTGAGTGGACACAGCCGTTGCGTATCCCATTGAGTCGTTGACCAAACGAAGAGATACGGCCACTCTCTCATTATAGGCTCTGTAGGTAATCACGGATGATCATACAATAGCTAAAAAAGAGTTTAACATAGATCACGAATTAACTTCTGATTTTGAGTATATAAATAGGAGAAACAGAGAATTACAAACAAGGTTTAAAGGGCATATCGCAGCCATTAAAATACAGGCCGGCAATAGCCCGCACCGTAATAGCCAAGATTGCGAAGTTGAAAAAATACATTTAAAAGGAAAATTTTTGAATATTTTATAATAAGAAAATTAAATTCAGAAATAAAATTTAATAATAATGATGGTACGCAATTACACCCCTCTCGGTATGAATTTTTAGCCAGCTAGGGACCTACAATAACGTTTAAGTACCTTGTAAAAGTGAGGTTAAAGTTCTTTACTTTGTGTTTTATTTATACGTTAAATGTGTGTTCAATTTTAAAGTGTGTCTCGTTGATTTTAATAATGTGTTCAAAGATTCGAAAGCCAAATGCGTATTTAATAATTTAATTTGTTCATCAAATGTAAGTTTATTTTATTGTTTATATTAATAATTTTATCGTTAAAATCGGGAATCTATTTGTACTTTTGTTTTGTACAGTTTAATAAGTAACAATTATATATAACAAGAGAGACGAAAGGCATTTTATTAAAGGTACTTAAAAGGTACTTTTTTATTCTTTTTAAAGGATTAAAAATGACAGTTATAACATACAGAAGTCGTTGCGATAACTTTGGGAAAAAACTGCACTGTTCGGTGGTTGAAATAATAATTTGACAAGTAGTTTGGTTTACAGTCGAACCCCCTATAACACTGTTGATTATTCCGTTTTATATGAATTCCATGTTGTACGAGTCACTTAGATTTTACAAACACGTGAGCCGTTCATAGCCCGGCACACGTGTTTGTAAAATCTAAGTGACTCGTACAACATGGAATTCATATAAAACGGAATAATCAACAGTGTTGTATCAGGGGGGTCGACTGTATTTGGTTACGGCAACGCGATCTGCCAAGGAGGATGCATTCCGGGAAGACTTTTTGGAAAGTTGGACCCTATTCACCTGTTATTAACGTGAATAAAACCCGGTTGCCATTCAGTAATGGAAAAACCAGAGTCGTTAGATGTGAAAAATTAAATACTTAGACTTTTCACGGGGTAACGCTTTCCATTCCACGCAGGCAAGTGCAATGTGCTACCTGTCTCGGTAATGGTTCGTCTATTTCGTGCTATATTATTGTCGCAGTAATTCGGTGAATATAATATATATATTTTAAAAATTATATCCGTTTTTGTAAGAATTATATTTAGTTTATTAGTTAAACTTTTTGCCAATNCACGTGAGCCGTTCATAGCCCGGCACACGTGTTTGTAAAATCTAAGTGACTCGTACAACATGGAATTCATATAAAACGGAATAATCAACAGTGTTATATCACGGGGGTCGACTGTATTTGGTTAAGGCAACGCGATCTGCCAAGGAGGATGCATTCCGGGAAGACTTTTTGGAAAGTTTGACACTATTCACCTGTTATTAACGTGAATAAAACCGGTTGCCATTCAGTAATGGAAAAACCAGAGTCGTTAGATGTGAAAAATTAAATACTTAGACTTTTCACGGGGTAACGCTTTCCATTCCACGCAAGCAAGTGCAATGTGCTACCTGTCTCGGTAATGGTAGAATGTTGACATTCGCCAGATTTCGGTCATTCACAGTAACATATATATAAAAAAACTATATTACATACAAATGTACGAACAAATAAAAACCCAGCGAAGCGGGTCCTTGCAGCTAGTATATATATATAGATATAGATGTCTCTGAAACAGCGTTTTTCCGAGGAGAACTTGTCCGCATTCTGATCGTTTACGTTGCACCCTCACGTAAGGCTTGATATGTCGTATGAGGATTTTAAAAATTACTACAATTTGAATGATTGAAGCTGAACTTTGGTACAACCGATGGAAAGGAAGAAATGTGCGAAATGCCGAACTGAAGGAGATAGAACTAGCTGCACTAATTAAAGAAACGCAATTGTTCTACCCATCCTAAAACGGGCGCTGCTTATCTCATTCGCGCAACGTTCGGCATCTTACGCGGGGTAAAAACCTGGATACGGTCAACGATGACAGGAAATCGGCTTGTGCATAAAAAGAGGGTTCTGGAAGATAAAAACAAATTTGAGAAAAAAAATTTTACAAGATTTAGAAAGAATTCCCGTAGGATACTGCAGAAATAAGATTTAGGTAGCGTTGGAATAGCGTTGCAACCAGGGGCGCCGCTAGCTGTTTGAACGCCCGTGTGCAATACCGATTATACCGCCCCCTGTTTAACTACGACTACCTACGCTGAGCTTGCCAGTAAGGCTCTTTAGTGTTGTCTCATAAGGGTGTGAAAAAATAAAANATCTTGGCCGCTCGGTCATCCGGTCTCTTCTGCTAATGCTTTGGAAACAGGAAGTGACAAATATATTTTAAAAATTATATCCGTTTTTGTAAGAATTATATTTAGTTTATTAGTTAAACTTTTTGCCAATAGATGGCGCTACGTGTAAATCATCAAATGGTACGTAAATAGAAAACGATTTACAGAAATCAATAGATATTTTGGGGTGGGATGTCCGACGTTATCCGAGTTAGAAGTATATAAACGTAACTGCCGAGTTTCGTAACAATTGGTCAAACGGCTTAGGAGTGTATAGCGAACAAACAAACATCCTCATTTATATGTTGTTATAATCTTATTAAACCATCAGAATTTTCTAAAGCAAAATTGCTGTAAAAACGTCTAATTATTATGTTTTCTCTGAACCTAAATTAATCATTCAAAATTCGAGTATACGAGTAACGAAAAACAGTTATTCGCGTGATAAAAGCGCGCCCTGTCCCGTCTTTCTCATTTCTATAGCCTACGTAAAGCCTGCCACTGTGGTGGTGACGTCGCCTTTCGTCATCCATCCGGGCCAACCGATGCAAATAACAGATCGAACACGCCTTTCTTTCGTAATATCAATATACTAGTAAATTAGGTTAATTAAAAACTTCTTTCGTCGGAAAACTTTATTATATAAAAATAATAAGGTAATAGCGGATCCAGAAATCTTTAAAGAGGGGTGCGGAAAGGAGACGCAGTGCCTTATAAAGGCATAAATGTTTTGACGTTGGTTCGGACCCGCCATTTGTATCTTTTGCAATAAACACCGTTTAAGAAATGGGGCGTAAAGGATTCATTGTAAAATTGGCTTCAGAAAAATATCCAGAAGCACTCGAACGATAGATATATTATCTAGTATAGCGTTGATCTATGCAATATATCATACAAAATCCTCAAATCAATAGGAAATTTTGCGGATAGTGAAGGTGAAGAGGAAGAATAAGATGAATGCGTTTTGCAAAACATTAGTCTAATTGTTAAGTACGTTCATTTATGACGTAAACAACGTTAAGTACACTCGCGCGTTAATTCAAATACTCGTTATTTGAGCCGGGAAACAATTAAAATTTTTATACCGAAGCAGAAAGCTCTTCGAACATCATATTTTGTAAAAATGTTTCTCGTTTATGTCTGTTAAAGTAAACAATTATAACATTTTCTTGAAATTAAAATGTGCTACGTATTCCCTACCATTGTTTACTGCCGAACCGTTGAATTCACTTTTACACTGTACAACTGCGAGAGGTATTTCCTTTTGTAAATATTTAATAGTGAAGGAAAAGTCCATAGTTTAGGAACATGAACGAAATGCTAAACCGCAGAAAATTGAATATTTCGTTGTATCGTCACGATAGACACAAATGATATTTATTTCGTGAAATTTTACGCGACAAAAGAAAAATCCTAAGTCCCGAATGTAACCCAGTATAAAGTACTTTATACAAAATGATTACAATAATAATCTTGAGTGTAGTTTCTAAATGTGCATTAAATTTGAGCGCGTTTCGTTTTTCTCTTTAAATTAACCGTTAACTTAATAGATATAAAAAGTAAAACAATACAATAGATTTACAAAATGACTAATAGAATATTTAACGCAAAAACTTATCAATAATTGGTCCAGAACGAGGAGATGCGGAATTGGCAGAATAATTGAATAATATACAGCTCTAGTAAGGTAGACTTTTAGCATGACGTTTTCTACTTGCCGACATCATTGATTTTGATTTAACGATTCGAAAAGTATAAAACATTTTGCAAGTAGTTACTCTTCCAAAATACGTCATATTTCCCATCAATTTTATTATTATATTTTTTACTCGGAAGAAATCTAATACGTTATTTAAGCACCTCGACGTTTTGCATTACAATTTGTATCTAATTATTCGGGTCTGAAACTTTACGCCATATACAAAATATCACGTCATTTTATACTTTAATTACCTTAAAAACTGAAGATTCTATGCGCATTATTATAAATAGATTTTCATGTCACAAATCAAAGCGCACTTTCGCTTCTTAATTCAGTGATCATTCTATTTACATCGTGAACTCGATGATGTAACGGTTTATCAGTCGAGTAACGAGGTAAGGCGTATCTCAACTTCTCCCAAAACCATCTTTCGCTCCACACCAGGTAAGTCCTGCTGAGTAGCAACTGGCGCATGTCCGCGGGAACTACGTCACACACCGAAGTATCCTTCAATACGAAAATTATCCTTTCCATCTTATCCTCCAAAGACTGTATCAAGGCCGTTTGAAACTCCGCTTGACACCACACGCTGTTCAAGAATTCCTCGGACAGGAGCAATATCGTCTTCTTGCTGTTTCTAATCGAAGCTTCTATCTGACATATTACGTCACAACCGGGCATCCAATCGCGCTCGTGGATGCACAGCTTAAAGAAAGGGGCGTTTTCTTCCAGTTCCTTCAACAAACACATGACGATGTCTCTGTCGCTGCCGGAATAAGAAATAAAGGCATCGAACGCCTTATCTTTGTCCAGTTCGGAAATCTTGCAGCAGTACAGCGAAGGGAAATGCACATACACGTAAGCCAAGATGACGTTTCTGTATTTCAGAAAGAAGAAAGCGAACACCATTGTTAATATTCCAAGCAGACAGACAACGGAACCGGAAACGATTATAGGAACGTTCGTTACCATCGAAGGAGGCAAACAAAACGCATCGTCCGGAAAACTCAATATGGAAGACACGATAACGGTGTTGTTCTCAGACAACAATCTACTGCACTTCACTTCTTCGGCTTCCACTATCTTATAAACGTTGCGATTCAACCACAGTTTGAAGGGTTTGAAAGAACAATTGCACCAAAATGCATTGTTTCTAATGTCTACTCGAATATGAGAAGAATCACTTACGTATTGCAAAAATTTTGCAGGAAAATCTTGTAGACTGTTATATCGAAGAGTGAGAAATTTCAAGGAAGAAGGAAATGTCCAATCTTCATAAAAATCCAAATGATTGTGATCCAAGTACAGTTCATCCACTCCAGACCAACTGTCTGTAATTTTTATTTTGAAAAGAGAGTTGTGTTCGAGGTGAACGATTGTGGTGTTTTCGGGAAGTATCGCTGGAGCGTGGGAAATATTGGAGAAAGAACAGTTCACCATGACCGAGAAACCTTTATATAAGTAACAGCGACACTTTTCTGGGCAACGTTCTACAACGGGACACACCACGTAGGAAGGAATCAGTTCCTGGAAAGTCTTGTTCCTCAAGTCAGAAGGAGAATCGCAGAGCAGCGATCGACCGAATCTCGAAAACTGAAGTTCTTCGATGTAGTTCCTCAAAGCGCAGTCACAACGGAAGGGGTTGCCAAAGAGAAAGACGTTATTCATATTCCTGGTGATTTTTCCCGCGACTGTTGTGATATTATTGTCCATCAATAAAATTCTGGATCGATTATCCGGAGGGAGGTCTTCGGTGCGAAGAATCGATAGGCGATTGCCATTCAGTCTGAGCAGCGAGATGTTATACGCGCTCCAGTCCATTCGAGGAAAGTGTGTGAAACTGGTATTAGAGAGTCCCAAGTGTATTAACTGTGGCAGTCTTCCAAACGGTCGTGGAGCCGGAAGAGATCCAAGAGGATTGTCATCCAGATACAGTACTTTCAGATTCTTCAGAATTTCAAACTTTCCCTCCTCTATCTTCGTTATTCTGTTTCCCATTAAAAACAATCCTTCAATATTTTGAATGTCGTCAAACACTTCGAAGGGAATTTTGGTCAGAAGATTGTTGCTTAAATCCAGTATCGCCAGCCGTTTGTTTCTACTGAACACGGTGGAAGGTAATTCGTTCAATCGGTTCTTATGTAAATCTATATGTCGGATATACGCGTTATTTACGAACAAATCAAGGTGTAAACGTTCGATTCGATTTTCGCATATTCGAACTTTGTATAAGTCATAACAAAAGGAAAATATCTTCTGGGGCAAGTCACTGATGTTGCAGTTGCAGGCATCGAAACTCTGTAATTTTGAGACGTTTTGCAATAGCATTTCCGGTAGAAAACCAAAATGGTTGTTACTCACGTTGAGAGAGATCAAATTGAAATTATCTACAAACAAGGAAGAGGGAAGAGTATTTAAGCGATTGTCGTTCAAAAACAGCTTTTTAAGGCTCGTCAAGCCTCTAAATATAGCGGGAGGAAGAACGGTCAACAAGTTTTTGGATAGATGAAGATCCTCCAGAGATTGCAATCCATAGAAAAGAGTTTCCGGAAGATCCTCTAAACGATTATCGAAGAGGTATAAAGATTTGAGTCTATTCAAACCACGAAATGCATCTTCTGGAAAACTTCTTATTCTTCCTAAGACTACGTAAATCATTTTTAACGAGGGGAGTCCATTGAGTAATCCCTTCGGAAATTTTTCCGTCATCACGCGCAACACATCGATCCTTTCTACGTTGCGTAACTCTTCTAACGTGTACGTGACGTTTTCTATGTGGTATAACGTGATGTCGCGAAGATTCGGTAGGTTCTTGATGGTGACACGCGAATTCGGTGGAACGTCTTCGGAAATCAAAAAGAAATGCCGAATACTTTTATCTCCCAGGGAAGTTCCGACGTCGGAAGAGGGAAGGAGGCATTCTCTTAACACCACGGAGAAAAAGTAAGTAAAATTAGTGCACGCACGAATCTGTTCGGCGTCGAAAGTGTTTCCTCGACACACTACGTAAATGGCTCTGTCGTAGTCGTTGATGTAAGAAGTAACGTTCGATCCGCATTCTACTCTTCGATTCATTTTTTGAATAACGAAACCAAATCGGTCGCTAACGAAGAACCACCCATGTGCTGCCGTGCAAAGGAACAGCAATTGAACCAAGAAGATTATCTGCACCATCTGAAACGAAAGTAAAACGTGTCACTTTCCGAACAGATCTATTTTACTCGAACACGTTTCAGCCTGTAAAGTATTAATAGTTTGTACTGTACGGTACAATTATATGGCCACTACGTACGATACGTAATTATAAAATACTGTAGTCTAACACATCTCTATTTCCATTCCGCCATTTGCATCGGTGATTTGTTTTCGGTGCGTCAGTCGATGGAAGCATTATCTGTGACGTAATATTTACGTTGAAGTTTTATTATCGCATTAACTTCCGCGCTAAATAAGACGTTTTAGTTGGAATTTTTTATGGCCGCTGCTGAAGACGGGTAAGGGGTGCCGACAGTGTTGGCTAGAGTTCTTAATGCCCAGAATTATCGTTATTACGATGTTTAGCATTAATTGATTATTTGTAACTGTTGCTAAAAAGAGGTATAATTTAAACTAACTATGCGTAAGTAAAAGAACAAGTTGGTGTATATTACATTCTCCTTTTCCCTCCGAGATGCCCCGTGATACGCGCACTTTAAGTGGCGTAGCGTGGGTGTCAGCCGCCCGGGGCGGAGGAAAATTTCGCCTCCCCTTATTTAGATATCTCAGTTTAAAAGACTAAAATTCAGTTTTTTCACGGGATAAGTAATGAAAAATTCCTCGCTCATTTCAATCGGTCCGAATCGTAGGTGCGACAAAAATATAAAATGAAATGGTTCAAATTTTTACAAGATATTATTATTATTTATTGTGAAATTTTGCCGTCCCCTAAAAGTGCCGCCCCTGCCGCTCCCACTACGCTACGCCACTGCGCCCTTAGCATCGAGTCCCCCTAAACCTTGCGTAGTCAGATTACAATTTAGCTCGTTTCGCCGATTTCGGTGTTTGTGTTGCCGGGCAACTACTCGATTATAAAGAAATGCTGTATCAAAGACTTAAGTCAAATAGGAAGACTTTAGTATAAATGTTTGTTAATATAAAAGGGTAAATTAATTTAATGCCGCGTTAGGTTCTTTTACTGTTTTACATTTTTCGTATTAACGTTCAATATTTTATATTGCACGAATTGATTTAAAGCGCAAAAGATCCAGCAGCGAGTTGCGTAACTTTTCCGGCTTCACCGAAAGAATTTTCAACGCGATCTTCGCTTCATTGGCCAAAATTTGTATCGCTCCGGGCGATGTTCCCCTACATCTTTAGAAAAGTTTCGTACGACAAGATCTAGGTCTACAGAATGCGTAGTTTTATTTACTTTTGTAGATTTTTGCAATAATTACTTAAAATAAAATTGAGTCTAGCGTTACCAGATATTATTAAAAATAACTTTTGCATTATTAAAGTTTCAGTACCTCCTGTTCCCCATTTAAACGTTGCAATCGCACTTACTTCGATGCGCGAATCGTATTAAAAACGTCACAGACATGGTGAGAAAACATCGTGGAAATGCGGTTGTCGAAAGTAAAAGTGTCATAACAGAGGCCGAAACAAACGCCGAGCATCTCGGAATAGATTTAAATATGCCGCGAGTCATAAAACGTCAGACACATCGAGCGAGTCTATCGGCAGACTCCTAGGGAGTTTGGAGAAGATCACTAATTATTCTGTACATAAATTTATTAATGACTAGCTGCAAGGACCCGCTTCGCTAGGCAAAAAGTAACGATAGTGAAGATTAAAAATTTTCGAATTCGAATTGGTTCGTTAAAATCGAAATAGAAAATCTTCCACTTTCGACCACTTTCAAGCCCATATCTCCCGCACCCTTATAGCAATCGAAACGCAATCACCATAGTGCACTCGGGGCTACTACCACATACAAACACCATTCATGTGCTATGTGTAGTTTTGGCTGAAAAGTGAAATATAGTAACACACACGTCCATTTTTATCTATATATAAATGGACGTGCGTGTCCCTATATTTCACTTTTCCGCCAAAACTACACATAGCACATGAATGGTGTTTGTATGTGGTAGTAGCCCCAAGTCTTCATTCGTGCATAGGGGTGGTTGCGTCTCGATAGCTATAAGGGTGCGGGAGATATGAGCTTGAAAGTGGTTGAAAGTGGCTTTCTATTTCGAATTTTTTATTCGAATTTGTTCGAATTAAATTCGATCATAAAATTCGAATATTGGTTCGATTATAGAACGATTGTAAACGTTCCAGAAACGTTGAAAATAGTTCGTTTGACTA